CCTAAAGCCAAATTTTGGCATTTTGTGGGGTTTTTGTGCAATTAGGCTAACTTGAAAGATATTTGGCTACATCAAGTGGAATGGTTTTGCATTAAAATAATGTTTCTCCACATGGTTTGAAGCGATGGCTTTATTGCAATAAGGATGTTGGCAGACTTGGGAGATGGACATGTGGTGGAAACCAACTTGTTTCTTTTAAATATTAATTCATTGCAAGTGAGATTAATGGACATGTGGTGGAAATCTAGATGGCTTCTTTTAATATTAATTCATTGCAAGTGGGAGGTGAAGTTCTCTGCATAAGTTCAAAGTCTCTCTTAGTTCTCCATATAAAGAAGCAAAGGTAGAAGGTTTAGAGACACTCAAGCAATCAATTAAACAACTCAAGTCAATTCAGCTCCTCAATTTACAATGTCTTGAATCAACTTCAATTTCCTTATAAACATTTACTTTTAGCCAAGCACCCTTTACTTTCTTTGTGTTTAGCTCTGCTACTCTTTCGATAGTATCGATTTCCTTTATATTTTCATTTCAACCTTTAAAGCCATTCCCTAAACCACCAGAAATTGCCCACAAGACTAGAGCAACTTGCTCGATTCCTTGGGAACAAGCTCCAACCTTGTATTTGGCATCCCTTTGTACTTCTAACGCTTTGTACTATAAATAATTACATTTATGTACATCTACATTTTCAGTCATTTAAATTACAAGCAATTTACATTACTAGTCATTCACTTTCCCTTGTCATTTACACTTCCAACAAACTTGCCATTTTCATATTGTTACAATTCTCCACATAAGTAAAATCCTTATCATCAAGGCAAAGTAAGACCCTTGATTTGAGCCACTCCCACTCAATGGTGCAATCTCTTGGTTAAAAGTCGAACTCAGGCCCAATCTCAATCATTTAAATCCCATCTACTAACGGCAAGTAGTAGTGGCACACTCGCAACCACCAGTTTCTTGTTCGAGTAAATTTCTAGCATGCTCTCGAGGCCCATGGTGAATTAAAAGGCAAACAAGTTTTGTTTAGTGGGTGTCAATTTATATAACAAGACACTCGACGTGAGGCCTTATGTGCTTTGGAGTATGGATTAATGAGAATAGAGGTGGGATTAGGGAACATTCATGCATTATCATGAAATTATTGTTTATAATCTCCCAAGATTGAAATCTATGGTTGTGTGTCATGTTGTTTAGTCTGATCAATTATTCATGATGAGGTTTATTTTCCTATTGAGCTGTGGTTTCGCTCACCCCTTTATAGATCTTGCAGGTATTGAACCGGAAACCTAAGGTGTAAAGAGTTGGAAACTAGCTAGAAGTTATCATTAGAGTTTTCATATGTAATAATCAGGTTTTAAACAAGAGAATAAGGAACCTTGATTGTATAGCTTGTGAGTTGTAACTTCTTATGTAAATTATTAGTATCACTAGGCTCTCGTTCAAAATTTTAGGCCATCTTTAACCGACCCGGCCAGAGGGTCATAGGGCTAAAAATAGCCCGAAATGACATAAAAACTGTCTCCAAACGAAGGTTAGGACAAAGGGATAGTGGGCCCCAGCGGACCACAATTGTACAATCGGGCTAACCGACTGGCCTGAACCAGCCAGCTAACCAGCCCCGGGCTGGTCCAGAAATTCAAGCCCAATGGCTACATAGCGTCATGATGCTTGGTAACCATTGGATTTGATTTTTTTTTTTTTTTTTTTTTTTTTTTTACAAAATTTAAAAAAAAATTAAAAATTCTAATTTTTTTTTTTCCTATAACTACCTAAGCCGTTAAACAACTTTAAATAACATTAAACAATATTAAACAATATTTAACTTAAACAACATTAAAGAACACAATCTCCACCTAGTACTAGTTGGGGAAGTTATTCAAACTTAAACAACATTAAAAAAAAAAAAAACATTTAACAATATAAAACTTAAAAGCCTACTCCATGCTTCTTTTAGCCCAAAGATGTGCAACAAGATCCTGTTGTAGGTACTTGTTTGTGGCACGCGAACGTATCATCCTATGGCGCCTCATGTACTCATTTAAAGAGATTAAGTTCTTGGATCCAAAGGCAAATTAGGCCCATCATATATTTTTGCACGAGCCCTCCTTGATATTGGATTATCTTAGTCGTCATCAAACTCTCCATCAATATAGCCATCTCACTTATTCTCCACAATCATGTTGTGTAATATGATGCATGACATCATGATGGAGTTCAATTTACCTTAACTCCACCCTCTTGCTGGTTCCTTGATGATCTTCCATCTTGCTTGTAGAATACCGAAAGCTTTCTCAACATCTTTCCGGTATGCCTCTTGGTGTAAGGCAAACCACCTTTGGGTGTCATACATAGGGTTTGCAATTGCTTGGACAAGTGTCACCCACTTTGGGTAAATGTCATCTGCCAAGTAATACCCCATATTGTACTGACGCCCGTTGATGTAGTAGTCAAGTTAAGGTGATTTACCCTCCATCTAGTTATTGAAGAGGGGTGAACACCCAAGAACTGTAATGGCATTTTGGGATCCTGGGATTCCAAAGAAAGCATGCAAGATCCATGTGTCAAACGAGGCAACCGCCTCTAACACAATAGTTGGCTTTCTCGATCTTCTGCTATAACCTTTTTGCCATCATCTGGTGGGACAATTCTTCCACTGCCAATGCATGCAATCTAATGACCCTATCATGCCTGGAAAGCCACGGTCATTAACTTTGCAAAGAAACTGATCCAGATTTGCTTAATTTGGTTCACGGAGGTACTTCGCTTTGTAAAGCTAAACAACTATGTGACAGAATTTAGCAAGATTATCAAGGCATGCAGACTCAGACATACCATATGTCCATCTAATCAGCTAGGGAAGCATAGGCCAGCATTCGAAGTGCAATAGTAACCTTTTGATAAGGTGAGAAACCAGGGTGGCCTGCTCTATCTAGTTTTTGTCAAAAGTATGGATTGACATGTTGGACATCATGAAGTAAACGCTCGAAAACATGGCGCCTCATCGAAAGCGACGTCTGAAATCCTCTTTTGTGTACAATGAGTTGGGGTTGAAGTAGTTGTTCACCAGAGTTTCATGTGCCATCTCTCTATTTCATGGTTTGTAAGAGCAACTAGCAGCAGAGCCACCCCATTAAGGTTGTTCTTCAGTTGGCTCACACGCCATGACCCCAGCCATGGCTGCCATATATGATGTGTTGCGTCATGCTTCATCTTCTTCATTGAACTCCTCATCTTCTTGTCTTATCTATGCCCATTTATCTTCCAATTCGGAATTGGATGAGGACCCCAGTTGGAATCTGAAGAGGATCCAAAGTTGGAATTCATTGCAAACTTGAGTTGAAAGAGATATTGGAGAGGGCAAAGCTGAAGGTGTGTGAATTATAGCCCAATATCCACCCTATTTATATGGACTTTGGAAGCTGAAGATAAAAAAAAGTGCCACGCAAATAAAAATCCTATCTAAAATTTCCACAACTAATTACATCTCAACACGTGGCACTCGAAATCCTATCCAAAAAATTATTGAGATTACATATCGACAAGAAATCTAGAGAGTTACTCATATATCGACATGTGGCACTCAAAATCCGAAACGTAAAATTATTGAGATTCCATATCGACAAGAAATTTGCAAAGTTACTCACATATCGACCATGACACTTGAAATCCGAGACGTAAAATTATTGAGATTGCATATTGACAAGAAATCTGCAAAGTTACTCACTTTAGCGACACGTGTTAGTCGAAATTCTATCCAAAAAATTATTGAGATTCCATCTTGAAAAATTATTGAGGTAGTTTAACTTAAGTAGCCATATTAATTCAATTAAAATAATAAATTACGTTTGGCCTATGGCCCCTTGGCCCCCTCGTCATTTTTGTCACAGGGCTATGTTTGGCCTAAACCCTAAACCCTTTGGCCCCTTTGTTGGAGATGGTAAGAAACATGGTATGGCACTGTTTATTAGAATATTAATTTCTTAGAGGGCTATAGGGCTAAAGGGAGCTCTCTGACCCTCCTTCAATTGGAGATGGCCTTAGTGTTCAAGGAATGCTCTGGTTTCATTTATATTTTATTTACTTATTTTTATTGCATCTTGATTATAGAAGTTCATAATTCTATAATTGGAATGTGATTCGCGCCTTAGATCAAGAAGAAGAAGAAAAATTTATTATCCTGGGTCGGTGTGACAAAACCCCATAAAGAAGCACTATATCGACTACTTTGTTTCTCAATAGAGATGTGCTTCAGATACACTATAAGGATCACATAGATTCAGTCTCATGAATATTTTGGCGCAATCCTCCTGTAATGTGCCACCAATTGGTCCTTGGTCCTTGCCAAAGATTTTATAATTTCATATATTCAGCACGCATGTAAATATTTCTTCATCTTTTCCCATGTTTCTCTTTCTCTTCGCCATTCGAATCCGAGAGGCTACTTGTTGTCACCAAGTTGATGTTCTTCCTTGTAAACAAGTGGCCACCAATCTTTTTGTCTTCGGGAACTTCCTTAAGAGAGATCCTCCGGTTGCATCCCACCATGAAACTTAGGTATTTTGGTTTTGAATCCGGAATCCCACCGATTATTGTTGTTTTGAATTACCTATGCAGCTGCTCTGTGGGGTTTTGAATCCAAGATCATTATTAGACTCAAAGATCATTTCCTTACTGCTGGGATCGGATTTCTGTCCCTAGTCTGGTTCCAACTGAAGGGCAGAGTAGCCTCAACAATTTTTTTGTTGTTGAATTTAACCACCAAGTTACGATGAACGGACTAAAAAGGCCCTTCACAATTAGCGGAAAGAAATGCTTCACGGAATGAGCAAAGCAGAGCATATATATAGTCTACACATTTGCTTGCTTGCTGGCTCTGCTTTCCTTGCATTGCGCATAGCCTTTTGCATTTCAAGCAATCAGCCCGAGCATGGTATTATTCGCCACATAAGATTGTCTGTGTTTCAACTTGATTTTGTTGCAGGGTTTCAAGTGTGTGAGTTAGAATTAATGAATGAATGAAGCGAATAGTACATCACTTGTTCTGATTGACCATACTAGCTTGACAAGATATAAAAAACACATAAAATTGCACCCGGCCATGCGGCCCATGACCTCACGTTCACATAAAGCAGTGTCAATGTGATGATGATTAAACTACTCTGGCCTTGGCAGCAGCAGCACCAATACTAGTGATGGACGTGGATGTGGACGGAGTTCCAGCTCGAGCCAAGAGAGCTTTGGCCGGTGGAAGCAGTGCAACAGCTCCGTGCTCCGAATTTGAGTACTTGCTGTACACACCTTGAAGTTTACTTTTTGTTGCCATTGCGTGCAAGCTCGCCAATAGTTTGGAACAATCTCTGTTGGTGAGCCCAGAACACTTACGTTAGTTCCAGATATACTAGTAACATTACATTGCACAAAAAGAAAGGAAACAGAAAGAGGAGAGAATTGAGTTACCTGAGCTGAGGTTCTGAGAAACCAGTGTGAAGCTTGAGTGTCTCGGACCAAACGGGACTCTTGTTTAAAGTGCATTTGGCAACATAGACTGCTGAGGCTGCAATCATGGAGGGGCAGTACATAGTCGTGGTGTAGTGCATCGTAGCTAACTCCGCCAGAAAATAAACCATGTTTTCCATCTGCACATTCAATTTCAAATTATTAATTTATTCAAATTCAGACGAACAAGCCAGAACACAGAGAGAAGACACAAATTAGAGAAGAACAGACTACTGACTTGGTGATCTGGAATTGACGCTTTGATGAAACGAACGAGGAACACATAAAGTGTAGGCACAGTCAAGGTCCATTCGAGTTTTCCAAGTATCTTCTTCTCCATGATGAGTATCTGAGAATGAGTGTAAGCCCTGTCTGAAAGGCAAACAAAGTCATTGACTTCAGGGGCCCAGATTTCTTCATACTTGGAGGCAATCAGCATAGCACTGATGCCGACTAACTGTAACTCCTTCCTGGGCACAATCTTAACCGCAAGGAAGCGATCAATTATATTGATGGCCAGGTAGAATGTCTCAGGAGAGAGTTCAAACTTGGTATGCACATCAACCAGCCAATCCACCAGAATTGCTCTCATGTTTTCATTAATCTCGGGTTGTGAGTCCATGTAGTCATGGGGGCGGTTCTCATTCTCAACAAGCTTATAAAACTTGTACATGTCCTCAATGTATTCAACAGCAGCCAATTCATTGCCGGCGTCATTTGTATCAATATCAACAATATTATTATGGCTCTTTGGTTTATCAGTCACACCACAAGCAGCCTGCCAATTGAAACAACAACATTAATAATCATATATAATTTATACACACACACACGCTTTACAACTTACAACAGAAAAAACGTCAAAATTAACTTTCAAACAACAATTTCTTACCTTGCTTCGAGCAGTAAGGACTGAAGTATAAGTTGGTGCTTTCTTCCTTGAGGTTCCTTCTGCCTCCTTTTTCTTGTTAACCGGCTTAGCGGTCATGCTCTCTTCCTCTGTTGCCTTGACTTCCCTGGCCTTGGGCTGGTTAACATTCACCTTCTTCTGAGCCGCCGCTGCCACCTCCTTTGGTACCTCAGCTCTTTTAACACCATCAACAACAGCATTCACCTTCTTCTGAGCCACTGCTGCCACCTCCTTTGGTACCTCAGCTCTTTTAACACCATCAACAACAACAGGAGCATCTCTTTTCACATTTAGACCAATTTGTTTCTGTACATCGATTACTAATTTTTAGAGAACAAGATATAACAATAACGATAATAAATAATAAGTAATAAAGTAGAATGGGAAAGGACGAACCTTATTGTTTTGGGCAGCTGCTGCAGCCTGCGCATTAGCGAGTAATTGAGCGCAAAAGCTCCTAAAACAAGAAGAGAGTAATCAGTAAGCAAGAAAACAAAGAAAGGACAAATGAGAGGAATCACGAAAGAAACAAAGTAAAAAGCAGCATCAAGCAAACCTTGTTACTGGCCGATTAGGCTTGGCGTCTATTACCACATTTCCAATATCGCCTAGCGCTGTTCGCCTTCTGCCATCGCCAGCGGCAACAACATTCTTTTTCAGCGGCCTACCTCCTCCTCTCTCCGCAACTGCTGCCTCACCTGTAAGTTACAACAAATAGACTCTAGAATCAATGTACGAAACAAGTCAAAGAAAACTATTTTCGCTTTGGTTGCGGGGACAAAATCAAGACAGCGAAATGAACCCGAAAACCCATCATGTACTGGGAAGCCCAATCCAAGAAAAACAAGTAGTCTTGAATCGGTTTAGTAGGTGAAGTTTTCCGAAATATAAACCCTAAATCCTAAATCCAATCAAGATTAATCCAATCCTTAACAAATAATAAACTCTAAATTCTTAAACCCAAGAGACAAACCAGAAAATCTTTGATCCAATTCTTTAATTAATCAAATCAAACAAACAATAATTTTGGAGCAAAAGAAACCCATCATCGAATCAGCGTAAAAGGAATACCTCTCGCTTGTTGTGGAACAACTACTACTCTGGAAGCCATTCCGAATCGTTTCGTTCTCTGTCTCTGTCTCTCTCTCTCTCTCTCTTTTGCAGGGAAGGGAAGCGAAGAGAAGCCTAGGATTATCAGAGGCCGTGTTCCGTATTTGAAGAAGGTAGCCGACGCGTCGCTCCAACGGTCGAATTTTACTTTTAGTTTCGATCCGTTGGATGACTACTTCATCCGACGGCGTAGGTTCGTCTTGGAGCCGTTGGAGGCCGAACTAAAAAGTTACCGTTGGTGTTGGGTTATTATTACAAATTAATTATTATATTAGGGAATATAGTCGGCTGAAGGTGTCAGGGAAGGCGCGGTCACCCACTAACATAGCTTTAGTGGAACACGTGGATGAAGATAAACTAGTGGCCTTTGATTTTGTTTACTGCTTGATTAATGTATGGATGTTTGCTCTTTTGAGATTTGTGTATATTCATTATATGAATTTTAAAATTTAATCTCATTTAATGATAATAAATAGGATGTAAAGTATAACTAACATTTGAGAATGATGAGCAGAAATATTTTCTTCCCGTATAATCAAGCTAACTTTTGTAAATCGTTAATTCTAATTTTAAATTTTATTTAAATATCATTTAGAAATTACATATGAAAAAAAAAAATTCCTTAAATTTTATTACAAGAGGTCCAATATACTTGGAATACGAGTTGAAGCGCGTGTCATAATACAAGTAGGGGAATACAAAAATATTTTCTCTTTACATATATTATAACACATAATATACCGACTTTTGTTCTAAATACATGAACCTCTCCTACTCCCACTATTTCCCTCAAACAGGCAAATTTGCGTTGTAAACAAGTTGACATTCTTCCCATAAACCCAAGCTCTCACTGCCACTGCCACTACCACTGCCATTGCCACAACACCCCAGGCATAAGCCCAAGAACAAATAAATCTAAAATTGAGAGCCTTGATGTCTGATTTGGGCTTACAAAATTCTATTAAGTAAGATGTTTTAAGTTTAATTCTTGCTAAAACGAATTTAAACCATATTATTACTAATTATGAGCCTTAACTCATTATTCCACTCTTTTAGTGTAAAAAATCATTTGTTGAAAAAAAATGAATGAATGGTGAGACAAACTAAACTCACTATTATGCCATGACATATCATGTTTTAGTTTTTATTTTTTACTTTTTGTGTGTGGCAAATAATGATGTTTACCATGCCAAATTGCAATTAAAAAATTTTAGAAAACTTTTAGAAGTTCATATTTTTGTATTTTATTTTTTATTTTGGGGTAAGAATATTTAAGCATTGTATTAATCTGAACTGAAACCATCTTATTTATGGGATTAACTACAATACTTACATGTATTTAATATAGTCATCTGATGGTCAGTTATATTCATGTAAATATATGTATTTAACACAATTACAATCTGACTGTTGAGATGATGGTTGTACTAAATACATAAGTATTGTAGCCAAATCTCTCATCCATTTATCAAATTAAAATTTAAAGGGGATCATTATATGGAGTTTGGTAGACTTTCATATGGTTTTGATGGATTCTCATATTTAGGTGTATTCAATATATACTTTTAAGGAGTTAATGTCATCCTGTATGAATAGATACTTTTTATGACTTTTAAAAAGTCTACGAAAATCTTGTAAAGTGTCACATCCGGCCTAGGGGGGACCACTTCCCGGGCCCACTCCACCACCGTAACACAATATTGCACGCTACTCGCTTAACTTCGGAGTTCCCACGGAACCCAAAGCTAGTGAGCTTCCAAAAGGCCTCGTGCTAGGTAGGGATGAGAATATACATATAAGGATCACTCCCCTGGGCAATGTGAGATGTTACAATCCACCCCCCTTAGGGGCCCGACGTCCTCGTCGGCACACACGCGGTCAGGGTTAGGCTTTGATACCAATTTGTCACATCCCAGCCCAGAGCGGATCACTTCCTAGACCCGCTCCACCACCGTAGCACGATATTGTCCGCTTTGGGCCCCTAGCACACCCTCACGGTTTTGTTTCTGGGAACTCACACGAGAACTTTCTAATGGGTCACCCATCCTGGGAGTGCTCTCGCGCGCTACTCGCTTAACTTCGGAGTTCCTACAGAGCCCGAAGCCAGTGAGCTCCCAAAAGCCTCGCGCTAGGTGGGGATGGGAATATACATATAAGGATCACTCCCCTGGGTGATGTGGGATGTCACATAAAGAGTCATAGATGTTGATGGATTGTAAGTGCTTTTATAGTAAGATTTTTTGTTATTGCAAATTCTACTTCTCCCTATAAATTTGATGTATTTCATTGTCCCACTTTTAATGATGTTACTCCACCACCCACTTCCACCACCATGTCCCCACCACCATGATTATCCCTACTACCCACCGCCATCACTGTCTCCATCACTGCCACCACTACCACCATATTACCTCGACTACTGCCATCTTGTTGTGACCATCACCACGAGCCCATCATCACCACCAACACCTTGTCATGGCCATCACCATTGTACCACAACCTCTTGAGATCACTTTTCTATCGTCGTCACCATCACTACTACCGCTACCTCTATTACTAACATCTTGTATACCTTGCTCATCACCACTATCCTCGAGGCCAGCACCACCACCAAAGGGGGCGTTGGGGGGTGTGCAAAAGGTACAGTGGCATAGGGTCCCGAGACATTAGATTTTGTTTTTGGTCAAACTACATAATTACATTAAAATTACTGATAGAAGTCTCACAAACGCTTCAAATTTTATGTACAATTCAATCAAAGCCAACGTGAATTTATAGAGGTAGACGAAAATCCCCAAATCCATGTATTTATAACTCTGAAAATCCATCAAACGCTATATACAAATACTACGCCCCAACTCTCACGTTTTTTGGTTCCTTCCCGGCCCAGAAGTTCGCTTTTGGTGACTAGCTCTACTCCACCAGGTTTTCGAGCTCAGGGGAAGGGAAGGGAAAGTTTTCGTCCTAGGTAAGCTAATCCACTTCTTGAATCACATTAAGAGGTTCCTATTGGTCAAAGAAATGAGAATTTGTAGTTTGGTTGGCAGTCCCCTTGAGGAGCGAAATTTTTTATTTATTAAATTTAATCAACGAATTGATTGTAAAATACACATCTAATTTAAAATTTACAAGACTGTATTTTGGAAACGTGATTATGGTTATGATTTTCTTCCATCAGACATCCACAATTCTACATGTTTACAGAAGTAACAAAATCTTACAGTAAGTAAATCGAAATCAGTGACAAATGAACCAATTAATAATAAAACAAAAACTCGTTACAACAAATGATTAGGCAAACAAAAACACTGCCTAAAATGATGCAACCAAATTAGTGGAAGAACACCCCAATTACCATAACATACATTTTACTCTATCATCACACATACACACACACAATACATATTAATCACACTACACAACGCCAGTCGTACTCACATTTGCAAATCCTCGCATCAGCAGTCGTTTTCTACACTCTATCATCTGGTCCGGCAAGCATGATCTGCGTCCAAAAAACATCGTAACTGGAAAGAAAACGAAAAGCAGCATGCCGGGATATATCTAAAGGCACGGTATGACAGAATATGCAAACAAGTACAATGTTACGTACATTGCAATCAAAAGCATATTTCCTGGCAAGTATAATGGCTGCATTTCTTTCCCTCTCTGTTTCAAATGTCAGCACAAATGAGAGGCCCTTCCTTGCTTGCCAGAACAATGCCTTCGCCGCATTAGTAATATCACCTCTAACGCCACATAGCTATATAACAGGAAATATTAAAGTGTAAGAATGGCTTATTTTGGGGCACCATAATAATTAACTCTGTTTCCAAGAAATAATAGTATCGGGATTCAAAAGAATAGCTCAAGGACTCAGGTTGGAAGGGCAATAACTATTTCTTATAATTTGGAAGGGAGGTAAATGCTTCATAGGTTAGAGGGACATAAAAGCACAAGGGAATCAGAATTTTGTTTTGTGTATACAAGATGCTATACGAGGGACAATTCTGCAGAACTAGTATGCCGCTTCTTCGCTAATAGGAGGGATTTATCCAAGAAAGATAATGCTGGAATGGCTAACAATCCAGAAAGGAATCTATAACAGAATAATTACAGCCTAAAAACAAATTTTGTTTTGGGAAAGAAAAAATAAATAAATGCCCTTATTCCAACACCGACACCAAATTATTGATTACTCGAAGAAAAAAAAAGTGCTAGGTCCGCTTCTTTAAATAAGACGATGTTTTTATCTTTCATTAGGCTAATCTTCCCTTTTTTGGTTGCTTCGTGATAAATGAAAGAAGGTTAAGGTTCCCTGTATCAGATTATGTTTAATTAGAACATAGATTCAAGTAGCTGCAAATGAACCTGCATTGAAGAGGAATAGTTTTCTCTCGACTTTGTAATCCATCCTCTACTGAGCTTCATCCTCATCTTCCCAACATGGAATGCATGAACAGAATGCGACGTATGGTCTTGTCCATTCATTTTTGAAATAACTACCTACAAAACATCCAACATTAAACTAACTAAGAACTAAAGGTATTTCTGCAGACCGGTGTCCAGTTAAAATACCGCATGTTTCATTTCTTTCTGTTGTTTAAAATCAGTTGCAGTGAGAATTAAAGGTCAGCTACAACTATATAGTTGAAAGTCTATTCACAATTATTATAGTATGATCTTGTTTTTCCTTGAGGAGGCATACTGATTCGAGTATTATAATCACTGCCTAACAACTCTCCGAAGCAACAAGAATCATCAAGCAGATAAATTTGGAAGAAGGTGATAATCAAGCAATTTATTGCAACACGTAAAAATCATCAAGCAGCGTAAATTTGGGAGTTACAACAAAGAAGTAGGATCTTACATTAAATTCAGTGTTAGATTTTCGCAAAAGTGTGTCTACATAGCTTCCGATTCCTGCAGCTGTTAAAACTTAACTTAATCAAAATTTTATTCTCTACTCTAAGATCAATCTAAGATAAACCATGGATAATACGATATAAAGAGGAACATTACTCTGGAAATTTACTTTGATTACATGAAAGAAAAAATAAATAACACATCTAAAAGTTATATCAGCGGTAAGAAAGAAAATCATGGAGCATTTT